CAGCTTAATTGTGCTCGTCACAAGACGGGGGTATACTAATTTTATAACTTCATCTGCTACGCAATTAGACGTGCATATCAAAGCGAAGACAGACACTCTTGCGCAATAGTTCATATAAATGGACTTACATTTCTATCTATTATTCGTAAAAATTTTAGGCAACTGAAGAAGAGCTGAAGTATTTTTTTTTATCAAATATTCAGAATTTCAGTTTTTTAATAAGAAAGGTGAACGATAAAGCTCAAGTTTATCGACAGCGTTCAGTGAATAAAGTACAAAATTTTCTATATGGATGTTAGTTTAATGTTTGTTTCGCGTTAGTATAGAGCGGGAGATGAGAGAGATAGCGAGCTAATAATTTTGTATTGAGCTTCACGTTATCGTCACGCAATAGATTTATCCAAAACTCAAGTATTATGCGTATTGTGTTTGAGAAATCTGATAATAGCTGACAATAGATTCGTTCTAAGCCAATCAAAAATTGTGTTAATATTCTTGTTTCTGAGTTCTGAGCGTATTTCATATAAATATTTAAGTGGCTCCAGATTGATCCAACGCAGTTTAATTTTGATAGCTTCCTTTCTACTATTCTTGTCTGCAATAAATTCTCTATAATAAAACCGCAATTGAGACCAGATGCCCTGGTCTCTCTTCGTTCGTTCATTCACTTCGTAATTCATAACACCATCGTTGCCAGTTGCATTATTTACCATTTATTATTGTTATTGTTGTTGTTAATTGCACTTTTACATACGTGTACGTACGCGATGTTGTATTCAATGTCATTTAGAAGAAAATAAAAATAAAAATAAAAATAAAAAAAGCTTAAAGTTGTCTGACACGTTTATAGTTTGATATAATTTCGGAATTGCTCTCTGCTTTTATACTTTGATTTTTTTTTTTCAACCTTTCATTTAACTTCACTACTAAAGTGCGCGTGTGCGTAAACTAAATACTTGAGTTTGATAATAAAAAGTTTGATATTTAAGTTAAAATTTTCGATTTTCTTTTTGCAAAAATGATGAGAAAAACAATCTAAGAACAAACTGTTAACCTCTTTATTAGTTTTCATATGCACTGCTAGGGGCTTTTAATAAATTCATCATATTCCTGGTAACAATATGGCATGTGAATGTCTTTAGCATATCTTTGGATTCGTTTTTCACTCAATCGAATTATATTGAATTATTATTGATTTGCATTACTTCAAATCAATATACGAGAATATATTTGTTAAATATGGGCGGGCATTGTATACTGGCTTTTTATAGCTAGCTTTAGCAAATATTTAAAACACCTTTTCGATCAGTGGCTTATTGCGAGCAAGGCCCTCGCAATGGTTTTCAGATTAATAATAATCATAATCTTATTTCATATATATATTTCTTTATAATGTAAGCCCAGCTTAGGATGCATCATTTGATAGGTTGATCAGGCTACGGTTATTAGCTGAGACGGTTTGCGACAATTTTTAGAATTCTAGATCAATTTTCAATAATCTGCATTTTCGAACTACAGACAGACAATTACAAATATATATATATATACTTTATGAGAGATTTAAGGCGTTGCAAGTCGTCGAACAAACTATTGTTACCTCGTACCTTCGTTGGTTAACATGAAAA